GGCGTTGTGCACCTCGCCGACGTCGTAGTCTTTGCAGTAAACCTCGAGGAAATCGTCCACGTAGACGATGATTAAGCTCACGAGCTGGTTCTGAGAGTTCCGCTTCTTCATCTTGTCGAAGGAGTGCTGCACGTGGCCAAGCCGAAGCAGCCTCGATGCTCCACAACCGCGGGACATTGGCCAAGCCGTAGATGTTGGACTTGATGAGGCAGCGCCTGGCTTTCCAATGCGGTGTTTGGGCTATCAAGCCGTCTGAAGGAGGCCACATGTGAAGCGGCTGGCTTCGCTGTTGCTGCGGCTGCTGTCCTTGAAGAACAGCCGTTGCCTCGTCGGCGATCCAGCCAACCAAACCTTTCGGAGCCAGCCACGAGCATCATGAAGGCGACGTGCTCTCCCGAAGCGAGGTGGTTCAGAAAGACACGATTCGGCTTTTGGCTTTTATGGGGCCGATGCCTCGGGACTTATCACTGTAACAAGCCCGGATCCGGAGGATTCTGTTCATGAGGATGCTTGTCAACTGCCTTGCATGAGGTACTCTGGCATGTTGGGGCCCTTAGTGATGGTAATTCAAGAGCTCTACCTGAGTCCGAAATGTCGCTGTCCAGAAACGCTCCCTGTCTGCATTCGCTCGGCCTCGAAGCAGGCGGCCAAGGTGTGGTTGACAGTCTTCTGGGCCATGGGCTCTGGACGTGCTCCAATTCGGTTTCCGCCTCCCCGGTCAACAGTGGAGCAAAAAGTGCAGCCTCTCGCTTGGTCTTGTGGTTGGCAATTTGCACTAGCACGGAGGTCGCTCGGAAAATGACGCTCCACAGTGCAAGCCTTCTCTGGTCCCATCCTGTTGTTTCAGCTCGTCGAAGAGGAGGCCTTGACGAATCTTGACGATGTCTTGGGGCCTGTGGTGCCCACGCGTCGTGCCTGACAGCTCGGCGCGCTGGCACAGGAGGTCGTCGCGTTCGCTGGCCGGCTGCCGGCGTTGTCACGGAGGAGCCGGGACCAGGAAGCTCAGCACGAGGAACCTCGGCTGCCCGGCCATCCGCCGCTCGTGTCCTTGCGGGCTGGTCCATGGTAGCACAAGGTCGAACGCAATCCGCACAGGGGTCCCTGTCTCAACATCTGCGACGCTGACTCGAAGTTCTCCAGATCCGGAAGGGACTGCGCAGACTCATTTTCCTGACCGTCCATCTGGAACACCATCGATGCTCGGGGCATCGCACAGTCGCTGAACAGGCTCCGGTGAGCAACTCGACTTAGCACTTGCAGAGATGAAGCTCGTAAAAGTTTGGCGCAAGCTGCGCAACATGGTTTCGCTCTCAAGACCAACGCTAAACGGGGCCCGCCTCCTCCTGCATACACGGGAGACGAACAGCCAGTCTCAACACTCTGCATGACAGCAGGAGAAAACAGTTTACCTCCAGCTCTAGCTCTATACCAGCATCGCCTTGCTGGCTGCTCCGCATTGCGGCGTGCACGGCTAATGTCTTGTACTTCAATGATTGACAGACGCACAAAGTAAAGAGTCCGTCCTTGCCGCATTGAGTGAAGCGATCTCACACAATCATGAGAACCCGATGTCAATTGTATTGAAAGGCTTCAATATACTGAATCCATGCAACCTCAAGACAGGCAAACGGCAAAACAAAGATCACTCCGAATCCTGTGCATGCCGACTGCTCGAGGCAGTTGGATTTTGAACTCGGATGAGGTAAATGCGAAACTCCAGCGTGTGTCAAGACATCGGATTGTGCTTTCGCCCCTCTTCGCCCTCATGCTCAGGTTCACACTCCGCCACGTCAACATAGTGGTTGTTCGAACCGGGGGTTCCCGGTCGAACCTTTGGTCAACCCGAGTTCATCGCTTCTACGCTGAGCGAACTGGGCGTTCGGCCATTCCCGCAGTTGGAGAGACTTGGAGAGCATTCTCCAGGTCACCCAACTGCACGAGCCAACAGCACTTCAGCGCTAGAGCTGGGGGTTAACTTGCAAGATGCTGGTGCCTGAGAGGTAGATGACTTACGACGCTGCTGAGCCCTGCATCCGCCCAGCAGGTGAAGCGCAATCAATATGTGTTGCTAGTTTAGAAACCCGCCTCGTTGGTCGCATCTGTAAGCTGGCTCGTCGTCCGCGTTGCTTCGAGCCGGGAAAGCCGTCACCGAACGTGCCACCAAGCTCGGCAGCACCCGGGAGACTCAGCCTCGCTGTTACATAAGCGATGCTTTGCAGCTTCAGAGCTGATCTCTCAAGAATGCCACCCATTCTTGATGTCGTCGAGCTCCGGCACCGGAATTTGGCTTGCCTGCCGTGGATGTTAACCCTCCGAGCTCTTAAATCAAAGATGTGCCAGCAAATCAATGCCTGGAGCTTGTCACGCATCATAAGGTTCCTCAGCTTTAGGGGCCCCATCCCCAGCAGGTTGTCCTTATGCTGCCAACATAACCGCAACTAAGTGTCTGGTTGTGCACGGCTTCCACTTCTGCAACCACCTGCGACACCTTGGCAGTCGAGCATGCAGGTAGCCACCAAACCATGTGCCAAGCAGTCAACCTGACAAACTGCGACAAGATTGCATTTTGGGCCGTCACCAGAGTGGACATCCTCGTCAGCATACGCTGTGAAACCTCTGCATTCTCGGACAAAAATTTCTGCCTCGGCGGAGTTCGCAAGACAAGAATGCGGCGACCGTGAGCCGGTCTGCTTCTTTCCTCTGGGGCTGCCACGCGTCAACAAGGTCCCTGACGCAAGATATTGCCGGGCCTCTTCAGTCCAAGACGAAACTAGCTGAAGAGGCGAACCCATCAACACGCCGCAACGGAATGTTTGGATATTCGAGACACCGGCCTGATCAGCTTGGTTCGCGTGTTAGATTGGCTTGCAACTGGGACTTTTAAGTCCACAGGCCCTGTTTCCCTTGGCAGCTTGGCGCTGATTACAGCGGAGTTGAGAATGGTTTCCTCAGGAAAGACGCTGTGCTGCTCGTGCGCACGAACCGGCACTGCCATTTTTTGCAAAATCACTGACATCAAACGTTGGAGGCATCAAGATCCGAACGTTCTGCCGCCTGATGGGTAGAACGGTTAGAGTCGGTTAGAGGCAACCCAACAATCTCCAAACACAACCTGCTGCAACTCTGCAAGTGTCATCGGCAACTCTTGTGTTCCCACCAGATGGTGATGCTCCAGGAATGTTCGTACTTACCAAACGGTTCATGCCGATGAGCTAGGCCCGTGCCGAAAAGGGCTGCTGCGCAGTCTTCGCCACTACAACGACAGAATTGCACGAAGCTGGGTGTTGAATTTGTGCAGGTTCGTGACACTGCCGGATGAAACTTGGCTGACGCTCCGTGACAACTGGACATGCAACACACACAGCAGAGATCTATAAATCATCTTCCGGATCAAATTCCGAAAACCCATCTGAGGCTGTCTTGCTCAACTTCGTTTTGTGATGCCTGAGTCACGTACAAGTCTCGTTGCTGCACCGAACGTTTGGAAAGCTCTAGACTCCAGATCTCGAAAGACAGACTGCAGTCCTGTTAATACTCCGAAATTCCGAAACTGATAGATCATGACTCGCTTTTTGGAAGGTGGCAAAACGACGGTGAAGGCGATGTGACCCGTCTTTGCGTGTGCCAGAAAATCCGGAAGTTCGCGATATTGCAAGCTGCGTGTGCTCATGTCAGTCAAGCCGGCTACAACCTGCCCGGTCTCTGGACTGTCGGAAGATTCTCAGGTCGAAACTTCTCAAGTGCACTATGGAAGTGGCTCAACAGCAGTGGTCCTTCTCCGATCCAATATCTTTGGCTGCTGATGAGACCCACCATTCACTGTTGTTGACTTGTCTGAGAACTACTTTCTGGCATCTCTCTCGGCCAACTCTGACTATCCCCCCATGGCTCGGACATCAACTGCGGCAACCGCGATACTTTCGTTGGAAACCGGGATTGATATGGTTGCGCTGCTGTCTGCGGCATGCATGCTACAATGGCAGACCGGAATTCACATGAAAAGTTCGTGGACGTCTACATGAATCTGCAAATATTTGCAATGTTAACACTCCTCCACATAATCCGCAAGTGTGTTTGTGTGTGCACTCGGAGACATTCAACTGTTGGTTCCACCGGGCATTCCAAACATCTGGGACACCTGTCTTGATAAGCGAAAACAATCCGAACGCCGGCTCGCATCATCATAATCATTCTAAAGCAGGCCTGCAGTTTGTGGAGCATCTACCGTAACCTTCTTATCTGAACAAATCAGCAAGTGTTTGGCCTCCTGCAAATGGTGACTGGAGCATTGCCAACGTTGTTTTCTATCAGCTTAGTGCACAAAGTGCGGGCGCCTCCACCGGAGGTTCCCTTGCTTGCTGGAAGCTGGCTGATCTCCTTCAACGTGTTGCATCCCATCGCATGACCTAGTGCACTACTGACAGTAATGTGCAGACTGTCCTGCACCAGGTCATCCACCTGACATGCTCCGATGCTTGCAGACACTTAGCTCACATCAAGCATCCCTGCAGGATGATGCACAGTTCGCCTCGTCTCGAGGCGAGCCGCCGTCCATCATGCCAATGCACTCTGCACCCGTCCCCTTGTGTTGAATTAAATTACTCGCGTCTGGCTCATGGTCAGCCATGTGCTGTTGTCTGGGTGGCTTCCTGCTTGAGCACTAAGCTGGTCCGGTCGATGGTGACACTCATTACAACCGTTCACAACAAACAGATCCACAGAGTTCTCTGACCGAATCGCTCTCGCTGATGCGGCATACGTGTGAAACAGCTTGAAAACTTCCTGAAAAGAGCGACACTCAGCTTCCTTGCACTTCTAGGAAGACGGGCGCTTCTTGAAGCCATCCTTCGGATGCTTCCTTCGCAAAAAAGCAGCCCGGCTACCGGGCTACTGCTCCAGGCAAAGAGCAGGCGCCGGGCGCTCTAGAGCGCTCATTGAATTAAGCTGCAAATACGAGAAAGCGCACGCTGCACTGGTGCACTGGTCTGCTGCACTTCTTGTCATGCAACATTCATTTTCGGATACCATGCTGTTGAGCCAGGTCCTGACAAGGCGCATCGAAACCTTGAACCCTTTCCTGAGATGGCTTCGTACCCGCGAAGCTGAGGTCTCGTCCCACAAAGTTCGGTCGCCAGAGCAGACACCCGACAGCCCTGACCGAAATGAGCTTGCAAGTGTGCGGAGGAAAAGTCGCAGCTGGGCCACAGCTTGAACAACAAAGAGATTCTGGGATGGGCATGCCGCTGCTCTGGCTGATTCCTGCCGATCGATGAGCGAAGAACTTGATCTTCTCGCCAAAGTCCTTACAGTCTAGCATGTGCTTTCGCAACACGTTGTCACTGACTGCAGCTGGGAAGCTGCAGTACTATCCCCAAATCGAGCTGTCGCTTCCAGTCCAGCTGGCGCCAGCGTATCTCCCAAGTCTGTCCTCGTTGAGTGCATCTCACATCCAATGAGAGTCTGCAAGCACAAGGCAGAGGAGCCGGCCTGGGTAGATGTCGATGCTTCAAAGGTGACAGGGAACTGCTCTTGGCCCCAAGCACTGTCTGCCTGGTTGCGAACAAGCACCAACACTAGAGACAGCTGTCCACACAAGCCGACCTGTCACTGAAGCAACGCAAACTCTGGGATCGTCCAGAAGCATCGGGAGGCGGAGAGGGAGATGTGCAGGCCTGCCTGACGTAACCACAGACAAGTGCACAGTAGCCATCGAGCAGTTGTTGAACTCGTCAGGGCATTGCTTAGTTTCTAGGAAGCAAACAATGTATTCAGATCAGATCAGCTATGACATGATCTGACATTGCCAATCACATTGAACGCCAAGATCCTGCACACACCTTGCTTCCGTCCGCTCTCTGGCAGGGTGCGCATTGTCGCGAACGCGTCGACGTGCCAGAACTCACAACTCCGTCTTGTCCGGGCGATTCAATAGCCTACGTAATCCACAAGGCTCCGATTAGGGCCGCATGAAAACCCGGAGGACAGAAGAGGCTAATGGGAAGCTGTTTTCGCTGGGTATGCACGTGGAGTCGCCAGGAGCCTGGCTATTGAGTGCGGGTGATGCTGGCATCAACAATGCTGTGAGTTCACAGCTCCAATGTCCCGCACCCAGTAGTAGTGAAATGTGCCGGCCTAATACGCTGCGGGGTTAGCAGCAGGCAATACGTGTCTGCATTTCAGGCGGTCTTCGTACCGAAGAGGCCTGGCGGCCAGACAGTGCTGATTAAAGAGCGCTGGTGGAGGGAACAGCCGTTGGGGCCTTTGATCGCACCGCGATCATCAAGCCCAACAAGCATGCAAAGCACTGTTGTCCCTCACAAAACGCTTCACTAGCGAACTGCACAACTGACATTGTTGAAGGCCCTGTGTATTTCGTTGAAGCCGCGTGCTTGCAACAGCCTCATGACCTTCAAGCCTCGATAGATTCCACACCAACACTTGCACTCTTACACCAACAATAATCAACATTATTCAATGTTCACTGACCGGGTATGACCGGGTTCCTGCCAGACGGCGCTGACTTAATCACGGAACCTCCGGGGAGGCATCGGCTTGTGGATTGGAGGCGGAGGCTGTACACGAACAGAGCTTGACGACGGCGGGGGAGTTCCAACTGGAGAGACGTTCCCTCAGTCGAGCAAGGCAGGTTGATGACATTCATAGCATCCACAAACTTGCTGGCTTGCCAAATTAAACAAAGGTTCTGCTGACGCTGGTTCGTCGCGTTAATATGAACGGAAGGTGCTGGCCTCAGCGCAAGACAAAGCTGTAAAGGTGAAATTGTAGCTGCTAAGCTGCTAAGCCCCGCCCAGACATCCGAGAGGCCACCTGATTGCTCCACCAGGGCATTGTGGATCTCTGTCCTGGTCAAATGATTATGAGTAACAAAGCGCATGACAGCTTGTTCCGAGTTGAAATACAATCTGAAGGATGCCTTAAGCACCTGTGTATAACCTGAAAAAATGGAACCGGGCGGAGGTTCCAGATGTTTGAAACATGAAAGTCGTAGCGGGTTTGTTGCGGGCACCATATGGCACCATAGGAGCGCTTGTCAAAACTTCTTGTTCATGGCTAGACCATGGATGATTTGGGGGGGTCCTATCGCTTTACAAGGATTCTGTCACATGTTTCTGTGAGGTATCGCTTTGCTCTTGTGAAAGTAAGCAGACCATCAGACTCACTGATCCTACTCGTAGCTTGCCCTGTGTGGCAATGGTTCATAAAACGGTCTAGTAGGTATCGATTAGGGTATCGATTGGGTATCGATTAGGGTATCGATTGCCTAGCCATATCTCACACGGAAAATCTAGGCACAAAAACTGCGGATCCTCATTGATCGTATCGCTTTTGGGGGGGTCCTATCGCTTTCCAAGGAAATTGGCAAAATCCGACATTCCACGGTCACCCTACTCTTAACTACAATTACGGAAGTTTTGACGGATGCTATAGAGTAGTGAGCTGGGGTCGATGCTTTGTTCCCGTCCTGTTTTGCATTCTGGCTTGAACAAATCGGTATTTGGAAGTCTGTGGAAGTTTAGGAGATGCTTTGTGTATAGGGCTATTAGACACGTTGATCGATAGAGACATGGGCGAAAAGCGTAGGATGCGAGATTGAGGACAAACTACTCCGGTACCCCTGCTCTTGCACGTTAAACAGTCTAGCAGCCTCTAAAATCATCTCCTTTCTCCTCTGCTTCCTCCGTAAGATGCACAGTCTTGCTCCCAGAATCCGGTTTCGTTGTCGGCTTTGAGCTTCAGCTTCCCGTGTGTGGTAGCTTGGCCTGCTTGCGTCATGGAAGGGGCGTTTCGTGGCACCGTCCCCAACTTCTGAAGAATCAATTCAAGATGCTGCAGATCAAGCAGGTCGGCACATTCCGGAAGGAGTGTAAGACCAGCATCTATCTCTTTCTTCGCATCTGCCAGCTGGCCATCCTGCAAATCGCATACCAATGCCCACTTTAGCAGCCGAAGCAGTTAAAGCACTGATTCTCACAACTACCTCTACTGTCGTCCTTCCACAGGGCTTTCGCAAGCAAGAACCAGCCCTTCTTGAAGTCAGGCTTGAGCTGTATGACTTGACGCGCATCCTCCTGTCATGGTTAATAGGCTAATTGCCCAAACGGGGCAGTAATCTGTAGTTCACTTCTCCGAGTAACTCGCAGATTCGAAACAGGGCAACACAATACACTGGCAGGGGCTCACCACGAATCGCAACCGGCACACATGGGTGAAATGGATGCTAATCCGTGCACGTCTGCAGCAGATGTGTTGCAGGGACCTCATGCCACTACCTCTGCAGAGTTATATAGGTGGTCATGATTGTGCTTGAACCTGCACAAGTGACGTAGCTCGGGTGATTGCGCGGCACGTGCTGCCTAGAGACAGACTGAAACAACGACTGGGTAAAACTGCCAGTCTCGATTCTGCGTGAGCAGATGCCGGAAGTGAGCGACAAGTCTCCACAAATTCAAAAGCTGGAGCCGACCACCAATTGCGGAGGCAACTGCACAGAGTAGCAGGGGAAGAACCCATGCGACAGATGAAGCGATGATGTTGATTGTCATCGGGAATGCAAATTGTCGTCCAGCCATCATTTTCCTGATGTGCCCTTTATGACTTTTAAGCAGCGCGGACACCCTGTCATTGCCTATCAACAACCTGACGTGTGGCCACAAGTCTGTTATCCAAGAATACTGTTCCACAAAGTGCTTGGAGTAGAAGACGTACTGAATGGAGATTCGCTCCACTTTGTTTTCCTACGACATGCTTAGCAGTTTGATGAAAACACCTGCAGAAAGGCCGAGCTGAGATCCTGGCCTGACATCTTGTCCACATCTTCAGGGCAGCAAAGCACAGCGCCCTGTTGTTGTACAAGCGGTGGTCATTAGGAGCAGCTTCCAAACCTCAACAGAAGGAGATGCGACTCTGGATATCGTTGCGAGTCGCGATTCATTTCTGTGCCCCAAGGGCCTCTGGAATAGGCATCGATTGAAAGATGGTACTTCTCCAAAGCCTGCTTGGCCCAGTCCAGACCTGCGTAAATTTTCAAGGGGCCGACATGTTCATCGCTGCCTTCGCATACACTGCCGCACCTTCTCCACCGAAGGTAACACCATCTCCGTGAGCATCAGCATGCTTTTGAGCGAGGAGACAGGCAGCTCGATAAAGCTCGTTTCCAGCGCGACGGCACTCGTCAGCCAGAACAGCTGGCTCCATGATTTCCTTCCACTTGCGGTCATATTCCTCTCGATGTGCTTCGTCTTTGAGAACCTCCCAGGCTTCGTTCCTCGCTTCAGCTGCAGAAGAAAGTCGCCCGATGCAACACAGCCGACCTCACAGATTCTACAGCTTAGGTCTTTCGCCAAAGTCTCAGAGCTGCTGTAATCCTTTTGCCTCGGCCCTCTTTGCTGTTGGGCCGTTTGTCCGGATGATATTCACGCAACTTCTCATGATATGCATGTTTGATGTCCTTAGCTCTGACTCAGCTCTGAGCCACCCGATGCATGAGGCACGATGCAGGCACCATTCAGTGGATCTTTGAATTGCAATGGTACTTCCTGCCGCCTTGCCGTTACTGACTGTGCGAAAGTATGCCAGGGCTCTCCATGCGATGACTTCGGGGAACAGTCCAACCTCACATGACTTGCTGCACTCCAAAGACATAGGAACGGATTGCACGGCTGCCCCAAGATGACTCTAAGGCCTCAACACAGCATAGTGATCAACAAATTCGGATGGCTTGGCCATGTACGGCGTGCAACATTGCGCAATTCGCTATCAATCGAGGCGTCGCTTGCTGCATGCATTCGATACAATGCCAAGCAATCCGCCGGAAGCTGGTACTTACTTCTGCTCGTGCTACCGGCCCGTACACTCCCCGACACAAACTTGGGCCGCGATCGACACAGAACCACGACTTTGCGGAGAAGGATGATGTCTCTCACGCTTGCATTGTCAATGTTGTCAAGGTGCAGTGGCAACTCCTCACGGGTCTCCTATGCCAGGGGTATTGCACCTATATATATATATATATGTATATATGTATATATATATATATATATATATCTTCTTGTACTGTCTAGACAACGTTACGAATCCACTCCGAACTAAACTGCCATAGACTGCGTAGTCTTCGATGTCTACGACGACACCACACCGTTCGAGCCAAAACAATACCATGAAGTATTGTCTACTGTCCTCTGTATGCTACGCTATTTAACGGCGCGCTCCTCCTCATGTTCTTTTCTTGAACCGTGATCTATAGGGTATGTTAGAAGCTAGCGGTATCTTAAATGGTATTTTGGAGGATACTCTATGAGGTATATTTGGGGTATACAAAAGATACATTTCATAGGCGGTCTTCTGTAAGGATGGTCTATAAGGTATTGTAGAGGGTACTCCATAAGGTATTGTACAAAAGGCATTCTGCGGCCTATATGTAGGAAGGTATTCTATAGTGTATGTTTTATGAAATTTATTAAGGTGCATAGAGAGTGTATTTTATAAGGTAATTGTAAAGATAGTTTTCCTGGCTCCTGATTTCTTCATAGGAACCCTTTACCCAAAATCTGCAATTCAACCAGAAATTATCAGATCTTGGGCTCCGGCTGGCTTTCCATATTTAAAGCCCGTATCTATAAGGTACTGTTAGGATTTTCTATAATGGATTTCAAAATGCAATCTTAATGGTACTGTACAAGTATTCTATATGGCAGACAGAAGGTACACAGGATGTATCAAATAGAGGCGCTCTTCTTCAAAGTATTCAACGGGGTATTACAGATGGTATTATATAAGGTGTATGTAGGGTAAATCGGTGGAAAAGGTAGTTTAAAAAGCATTCTATAGGGTATGTGCAGCATGTGTTTCAGAAGAGCTCTGTTCTCTGTATGTATCCTTTGCTAGACAAACATCGATTTTCAAGGAATCTCTAGATCCTATATTCCGCAATTCCTTGATATGAACCCATTGCTAAATAAACCACATTCAACTGGGGAACTCTCAGATCCTGGGTGTACAAGGTGTATAGGGAATATAGGAACATTATATATGGTATTACCGTATTCTACATGAATTTCTTTACGGTTTGTAAAGAGGGTATTCTGTATGGTATTCTACAAGCATAAATGTCCGTTGCCCAATAACCTGCAAGAAGCTTGGGCTCCTTCTGATTTACTTTACGTAAATCCTGGTCTATACGGCTTCTGTCGGGTATCTGAAAGGGGGTTCTCAAGGCCATGTATAAGGTATAAGGGAGTATCATCCATAGGGCGTTTACAATACATTCTGTAAAGTATTCCAGATGGTATTTTAAAAGGTTCATATGGGGTATATAGGAGATAAACAAGGTATTCTATGTAGCAGTCTATAGGGTATTTATACGGTATCCCAAACTGTAACGTATAAAAAGTATTCTATAGGGTGTATATATAGGACAGATTTCTATAAGGTGTTCCATGAGATACATGGTATTCCATAAGGTATATTATGCAAAGACAAAGTATATATTTTATAAACTCTATACGGTACGACCTGAGTACTTTGTATGAAATCCTGGAAGGGATAAGGGAGTATTCTATAGTGGACTTTGAAGGATATTTGTTTACAAGTAGGTTCCTGATGTCCACCATGGGATCCCGTTACTCACTAAGCTATAACTCAGCTGGACAGTCGCAAATCTTCGGCTCCGACTGATGTTCCATATTTAAACCTGTGTGTACAGCATTTACTGTATTTATGCTCACAAGGACAGGACTGGAACTGGAAGTACAAGATCACTTGATTTTGATGAGATGCAGCTTGGGTCATCAGACATTTGGTGTCATGCGATCAAACTGTCAAGCACAGCAATCCATTCGCTAATCTTCACTGCAGGAGTGGCCATGTGGCACATAAAATGGCAAACCGATATGTTTCATAAATATTTACATGGTTTCCAGCGGCTTGGCTGCATTAAAACCCGCATTAAAAAATTGAATTTTAATGCAGCGCGGCCCGTGGAACCAAGAACCAAGAACCAAGGTGCCCAGGAGTCTTGAATCCTGAATTTTGGTTCCACGGGCACCGGCCGGGTTGCATTAAAATCTGCAAAACAAATTAAATTTTAATGCAGCCCGGCCCGTGGAACCAAGAACCAAGATGCGCAGGAGTCTTGAATCTTGCATCTTGGTTCCACCGGCCTGGCTGCATTAAAATCTAATTTTTTTTTGCAGATTTTAATGCAGCCCGGCCGGTGCCCGTGGAACCAAGATCCAAGATTCAAGACTCCTGGGCATCTTGGTTCTTGGTTCTTGGTTCCACGGGCCGGGCTGCATTAAAATTTAATTTGTTAATGCAAACTTTAATGCAGCCTGGCCGGTGCCCATGGAAACAAGATCCAAGATTCAAGACTCCTGGGCATCTTGGTTCTTGGTTCTTGGTTCCACGGGCCGGGCTGCATTAAGATTTAATTTTTTAATGCGGGTTTTAATGCAACCGGGTCTCTGGTATAGTCATGTTCGCATACATTAATCATTAATCTTCGTATACCCTAAGGTCCATGTTGCATGTGTGTGCGTGTGTGCGCATGTGTGCGCATGTGTGTGCATGTGTGTGCATGTGTGTGCATGTGTGTGCATGGGTAAGGAAGTGTGGTATCATATATGTAGACAGACAGGTTTGGAGGTAGGTCCTGGGGCGGGGGTGCCAGATATATATATATATATATATATATATATATGTGTGTGTGTGTGTATGTGTATGTGTGTATATATAAATACATGTATATGTCAGTTTATGCAATCTACACCGCTCGACTCTCGCTGAACAGCCCACGGTCGCAAGATCTGAACAAAGTTGGAACATCTCGATCTTCATCAGCCCGATCGGACACCCAGATCACCGGGCCGTGCGCACTGGCATCGCCAGGGATCGAACCCATCGTCCGATCGAAAAATCAGATGAGACATTCTATATGTTGTGAAAGTCTGGCCATGTGGACATGAGGCTTCGGAATGTAGCGTTCCACATGTGTTGCTCCCCATGGAGTTCTTCTGTGGGATCGTGAGAGGCGCAGGGCCTCACACGATAGGCAGGGTGATTGGAGACAGACGACAAACAGAGTTTTGCAAAATTGCTTGCTGTTTCTTTTGCCAACATACTCTTCCGGGGGCTACACTTGCAGACGATTGCCGCATGGCTTAGCATGCAGAAGTCAAGACAAACCCTTAAAAGGAAGCGTGCCAGAAATGCGCCGAAGCATAGCCCGAGGAGCAAAGAACGGATTGCTGCACGAGCTCATGGTGTGGTCGCAACTAGCCCGGAACCTATGTCAAGCCGTTGGATCCGCCAGTAGCATCTTCTTGACGTCGTCAGTGCCTTTGCGGAATCCTACACATATCAACTGCAGTGGCGACGAAAGCTTTGCGTGCATCGACGGAACGCAGAAGTGCGTCATTGACATACGTAGCTTCAAGTGGCCGTTGCGATCACCCGTGATCCCGTGCTTCTGAGCAGGCTCAATCGTCGCTACGACCGCTTCTTGAACGGGTAGGGTGGGCCTCTCCTGTCATCCCTTCTGAGCTCTTACATGCTCCAAGTTGCGATCTCCATCTCTTGGCCGTGAGTTCTCTATACAGGTATATCTGTGTATGCGTTTTTCTCTGCAAAGGTCCTCAGTAGCCGTGATGCTTTTCTGAACAGTTTTTGCAGCTCGCTGGCACAGAAGTCAAATCGGAGCTTGCTTCCTGCCCTCACGACCAGCTGCAGAGGCCGCCGAAGCTGCCTGACAAGCCCTCTTCTGTTTGTCAAATCATGTTCATCATGAGACATTCAATTCAAGCCAGAACGGTTGACCTTTGTACATGAAAGCTAGCATGTGAAGCCCCTTTTGGAGCGGCAGTTAGGCCGGAGCCTGAGCCAATCTCAAAGAGCCGCCTCGCGACGGATCGTCGATTACAAAAAAGACAAAAACCAAGCGAAATCATCGTTGGCAACCACATGCGCCATTCCCTCAGTCCTGCTTGCCAAGGCTTTGAAGGCATCATGCGGTCGGCATTCTCCACAGGATCCTTGGCTGCGCTTGGTTCTTTCGAAAATGGCTGGTCTTACAGTGCTCGACGCCATGGCCTCCTTTTGCAGGCTTCGGCCCGCCAAAGACGAGGTTGAAAACTGGCATCACGGAACTGCATAGGCATCTGCGGCATGTCATTGGTGCTACCGTCAGCTCCACTGCATCATTGGCCAGCTCGCGCTGCAAGGCATCCTGAACACCTGCCCATCAACCACTGGCACATGCAGAGTCTCAGGCATGGTGGCTCAGTGCAGCACGATTGCGCCGTTGGTGGTACAGAAAGTCACTCATGACCTGAGTCATCTCTTTTAGCCACCACATGCAATCGCAGTATTGTCGAACCTGGCCCTAGCTGGAGCCGCCAAAGTCAAACGGATTCTCCAAGAGGAGTTCGAGTTCGAGGCTCTTGCGTCTCTCAAGGAAGAGCCAATAAGGAAGGCTCGTAGAAAGTCCTCGTCATCCTTGCACGTATCGGTCGTACAGGAGTCTATTCAAATGCTTCGAAAGCAATCTACAAAAGCTTCTTGGATACCTAGCATCCTCGTGTACGAACACATATAAACGCAGCCCGACATACCTTCGGTGCTTCTCTCCAGGCCGCGTTTCCAGTCAACACCTCGTGTAGTGCAGCATGGCTCGCATCTTGACTTCCTAAAGCTGACCTTTGAGAAGAGAACATGTCTTGAGTCGGAGGCAA